CCCCCCCCCCAGCACCCTGAACTCCTCATTTCTGGCCCCACCCCAGAGCCCACACCCCTAGCCGGAGCCCTCACCCCCTCCTGCACCCCAACCCCCAATTTCGTGAACATTCCTGGCCCACCATACAATTTCCATACCCAGATGTGGCCCTTGGTCCAAAAAGTTTGCCCACCCCTGGTCTAACCCATCCCAGACAGACAGCTCCAGCCTCCTTTTGAAAACCTCCAGTGAAGGAGCTTCCACAAGCTCCCTAGGCATCTGTCCCATTACCCTGTTGTTTTTACGGTTAGGGAGCTTTTCCTGAGGTTTAATCTAAATCTGCTGTGCTATAGTTTGACTCTATCGCCTCTTGTCCTGCCCTCTGTGGCCAGAAAGAACAACTTTTCTCCATCTTTTTATGGCAGCCTTTCAAGTATCTGAAGACCGTTATCATGTCCCCGCTTAATCTCCTCTTTTCCAAACTAAACATAGCCAGTTCCGTCAGCCTTTACTCATATGGCTTGTGTTCCATCCCTCTGATCATCTTTGTCACTCGCCTCTGGATCCTTTCCAGTTTCTCTACATCCTTTCTAGACATTGGTGACCAAAATTGGACACCGTACTCCAGCTGAGGCCTAAGCAGCGCCGAGTAGAGCGGTACTATCATAGAATATCAGGGTTGGAAGGGACATCAGGAGGTCATCTAGTCCAACCCCCTGCTCAAAGCAGGACCAATCCCCAACTAAATCATCCCAGTCAGGGCTTTGTCAAGCCTGACCTTAAAAACCTCTAAGGATGGAGATTCCACCACCTCCCTAGGTAACCCATTCCAGTGCTTCACCACCCTCCTAGTGAAAAAGTTTTTCCTAATATCCAACCTAAACCTCCCCCACTGCAACTTGAGACCATTACTCCTTGTTCTGTCATCTGGTGCCACTGAGAACAGTCTAGATCCATCCTATTTGGAACCCCCTTTCAGGTAGTTGAAAGCAGCTATCAAATCCCCCCTCATTCTTCTCTTCTGCAGACTAAACAATCCCAGTTCCCTCAGCCTCTCCTCATAAGTCATGTGTTCCAGCCCCCTAATCATTTTTTTGCCCTCCGCTGGACTCTTTCCAATTTTTCCACATCCTTCTTGTAGTGTGCGGCCCAAAACTGGACACAGTACTCCAGATGAGGCCTCACCAATGCCAAATAGAGGGGAATGATCACGTCCCTTGATCTGCTGGCAATGCCCCTACTTATACAGCCCAGAATGCTGTTAGCCTTCTTGGCAACAAGGGCACACTGCTGACTCATATCCAGCTTCTCGTCCACTGTAACCCCTAGGTCCTTTTCTGCAGAACTGCTGCCAAGCCATTCGGTCCCTAGTCTGTAGCAGTGCATGGGATTCTTCCGTCCTAAGTGTACGTCTCTGCACTTGTCCTTGTTGAACCTCATCAGCTTTCTTTTGGCCCAATCCTCTAATTTGTCTAGGTCCTTCTGTATCATATACCTACCCTCCAGCGTATCTACCACTCCTCCCAGTTTAGTGTCATCTGCAAACTTGCTGAGGGTGCAATCCACGCCATCCTCCAGATCATTAATGAAGATTTTGAACAAAACCGGCCCCAGGACTGACTCTTGGGGCACTCCACTTGATACCAGCTACCAACTAGACATGGAGCCATTGATCACTACCCGTTGAGCCCAACGATCTAGCCAGCTTTCTATCCACCTTATAGTCCATTCATCCAGCCCATACTTCTTTAACTTGTTGGCAAGAATACTGTGGGAGACTGTATCAAAAGCTTTGCTAACGTCAAGGAATAATACGTCCACTGCTTTCCGCTCATCCACAGAGCCAGTTATCTCCTCATAGAAGGCAATTAGGTTAGTTAGGCATGACTTGCCCTTGGTGAATCTGTGCTGACTGTTCCTGATCACTTTCCTCTCCTCTAAGTGCTTCAGAATTGTTTCCTTGAGGACCTGCTCCATGATTTTTCCAGGGACTGAGGAGAGGCTGACTGGCCTGTAGTTCCCCGGATCCTCCTCCTTCCCTTTTTTAAAGATGGGCACTACATTAGCCTTTTTCCAGTCATCCGGAACCTCCCCCGATCACCATGAGTTTTCAAAGCTAATGGCCAATGGCTCTGCAATCACATCTGCCAACTCCTTTAGCACCCTCGGATGCAGTGCATGGGGACTATCGCCTCCCATGACTTGCATGCTATATCTCTGTTAATGCAACCTAAAATTGCATTTGCTTTTTTTGCAACAGCATCACATTGCTGACTCGTGTTGAGGTTGTGATTCACCACAGCTCCCACATCCTTCTCAGCAGTGCTGCTGCCAAGCCGGTTATCCCCCATTCTGTATCCGTGCATTTGGTTTTTCTTCCCTAAGTGTAACACCTCACATTTGTCTTTGGTGAATTTCATTTTGTTGTCTATAACCTTGTTCTCCAATTTATCACATTCCCTCTGAATTTTAGTTCTATCCTCCAAAGTGTTTGCAACCCCCCTTGTCTTCCCCCCACCCCCCCCACCAGTTTTGTGTTATCTGCAAACTTGATCTATTCCTACATCTAGGTCATTAATAAAAAAAGATGTTTAAACAACACCGGACCCAAAACAGATCCGTGTGGAACCCCACTTGAGACCTCCCTCCAATCTGACGACATTCCATTAATAGTTACTCTTTGTTTGCCGTTCTTTTAACCAATTATGTATCCACTTAATGGTAATTCCATCAAGCCCACATTTCTCCAGCTTACCTCTCAGAATGTCATGTGGGACTTGTCAAAATCCTTGGTGAAGTCCAGGTATATTATGTCCACCGCACTACCCCCCTATCCACCAAACCAGTTATCCTGTCAAAGAAGGAAATCAAGCTGGTTTGGCATGATTTGTTCTTGGTAAACCCAGGCTGGCTGCTAGTGATCACCTCTTCATCCTCCAGGTATTTGGAAATGGAATGTTTTATACGTTGCTCTAGTAGCTTCCCAGGTATCGAAGTCAGGCTGACTGATCTATAGTTCCCCAGTTCCTTCTTTTCCCCCTTTTTAAAAGATGGGCACAATGTTCGCCCTTCTCCAGTCTTCTGGGACCTCTCCTGTCATCCATGAGTTTACAAATACTATTGCCATTGGTTCTGCGATTTCTTCAGCTAATTCCTTCACCACCGTGGGGATGAATAGCATCCGGCCCTGCTGACTTGAATTCATTCAAATTGGTCAGAAGATCTCGGACGTGTTCTTTACTTATCCCGATCTGCAGCCCTTCCCCTTTGTGATCTGTGATAACTTTGTTAGTCGTCCGGTCACATGTTATTTTTTTGTGAGAAGACTGAAGCAAAATAGGCATTGAGCAGCTCTGCCTTCTTATCATCCGTTACCAGCTCCATTGAGCAGCGGGACCACACTATCCCCGATCTGTCTTTTTTGTCTGACGTATTTGTAGAACCTTCCTTGTTGTCGCTAATGTTTCTTGCCAGTTTTAACTTCTTCCTTGCCTGGGTTTTCCTGATTTTTGTCCCTACACACTCGTGCTATTCCCATGTCTACTCTTTAGTGACATGCCCCTCCCTCCATTTCCTGGATGTCCTTTTTGGTTTGTAGATAGCTAAAAAGCTCCTTGTGCAGCCCCAACATAGGCTGCTGCTACAGATGGGGTAGTGCCTATGCTGTGACTCCCTTGCTGTAGAATTGTGCTCCAGCACAGAGCGGTCATTTAGAGCTTTTTGTTTCTGTGGCAAAACCCGTGAACAGAGTGTGGAATTCTGCAGTGTCTGCTTGAGACTGCAAACAGCCATGAGACTAGCTCTGGGTGTGAATACTGGAACCTACAGCCGACCGCTGGAAGTGTCGTCATTAGAATCATAGAATATCAGGGTTGGAAGGGACCTCAGGAGGCCATCTAGTCCAACCGCCTGCTCAAAGCAGGACCAATCCCCAGACAGATTTTTTGCCCCAGTTCCCTAAATGGCACCCCCAAGGATTGAACTCACAACTCTGGGTTTAGCAGGCCAATGCTCAAACCACTGAGCTATCCCTCCCCCTGCATTAACCACTGCACTGCTAGTCACTGCAGGAACATTGAGGCAGTGTGCTTAATCTGCCCTCCCAAACTGCTCCCACACCTCCCCCGGGATCAAAAGCCCCAATTACCAGTGGCTAGCACCTCCAGCTTCACCCCGACCACTTCCATGATGCAGTTAGTGGCTGAAAATGCAGGGGCAGCATACAGCGGAACTTGCTCTTCACCCACTTCTGCGCTGCCCTCCTTCAGTAAAAGCCTTCACTCCCAAAGCGTGACCAAAGCTGTGCTGAGCCCCAGGGGCCTGGGCACAGCCTTGGGTGTCAGCTTAGTGTGGAGAACATGTAGGGGGCTTTGTTCTAATGGGCCCGCCTCTTGCTAGTGGTTAGAGCAGGCGGCTGGGCAAGTTGTGGTGTGACCTCGGGCAAGGCCCAGACCCCTGGTTCCCAAGCTGCAGGGATGCTGCACAGCCCCACTGAGAGCCTCTGCTGGACGCTGCCATGGTAACATCTTGGGGACTTACTTGTCCTGAGGGTTGTGTAAATGAGAGGAGCCTCCTGCAGAGCTCTGAATCTTCCCAACGTGCTAGATCTCACGGCTTCTCTGAGACGGGGGCGATAGGGAGTGACACACCCACGGCCAACAGAGCCAGGATAGAAATCGGGGGTTCCTGGAGTTAATCTCATGCACGGTCCTGTAACTTCCCAGTGAGATGAGGGGGTAGCCCCCGTAGGCTACTTGGGAACAGGGGTTCCCTACCAGTGTCCCGAGGCCCACTGGCAGCAAATGACTCCACCGGGCAGTCAAAGCCCTACGGATGTTGCTAGAGTTTTTCAGGGCAGAGTTTAGCATTGATGGAAAGGAATGTGGTTGATGCTGGCTAGAGCAGGTGCTTTAAAATCCCTCCCCCTTCTCCCAGTGCCCCCAGGTATTACCCATTACTGCCTCTCCTGCGGGCGGGCAGACTGTCCTGCTTCATTGTGCACGATTCTGTAGGCGATGGGGCTGCAATGGCCACACTCCTTTTCTTGCTTTCAGCCCCATGACCTGTAGCTCTGGGGTTGGCAGCTGTTGCCTAGGGTCAGTTCCTGTCTTCTCAATTACATCGTCTTGTGCCTGGAGTCTGATCACCTTTCTCCTCTCGTAGGTGAGGACAACGACTATACTATCTGGCTGGCTCACTCCAGCGAGCCCGGCAGCCGCACTGATGGCTGCGTTCTGGGCTATAAGGAGCAGTACCTGCGTCTCCGCAAGTCATCTGTCTGTCAGAATGGCCGGGATTACGTGACGATGAAGCAGCCATCTGTCTGCCCGTGCACGCTGGAGGACTACCTCTGGTATGGCGAGCAAAGGCTTGCTCCCCTTGCATGGCGAGGGGTCTGGCATAGCTGGGCAAGGGGTGATGTCTATCTGCTAAGGTTACTAGAGTGGCACTGCATCAGGGGCACTCTCGTCTGGGGCTCAGGTGGTGGCATAGGAGCTGCCTTTGCGTAGGATCTGCTCGCGTGGATCATCTAGCCCGGTCGGCGTGTAGGGTTTGTCATACCGTCTCAGAGCATCGCCCAGCGAGTCAGGGATCCCACTCCTAGTGCCTGGTGAAGGCAAACCTGCTCAGAGTGCACCACACATGGTGCCATGCTGTAACTAGGGGGTGGGGGGACCCCTAACCAGACACTGACTTCCCTACGGTGCATGTGGGCGTGCCAAGATCTGACCTACAGCCTAGCACAGCATGTATCCGCTTGGCTAGAAGAGTCCACTTCAGGTGGTCCAGGACTGTCTGTGTGATAGCGCTCTAGCCGGCTAGGTGAAGTTCACCCCTGAGCCATCACTCAGTGTGTCGCTCACGCCCGTCTCTGCTTTTTATCCTTGCACTGCAGCGATTTTGGCTATTTCCGCCCTGAAAACCAGTCTGTCTGCGTGGAGCAGCCGGAGCTGAAGGGCCATGACCTAGAGTTCTGTCTCTATGGCAGGCAGGAGCTACTGACGACTAGAGGGTAAAGTGGCTTTTTAACAGGGATTCGCTCAGCAAAAACTGGCCCCAGATAGGGGCAGGAGCAGCATGGCAGGGACTCCTGGGAGCAGGGGGATAGATCTTGCTGCTACCAGTGGGTAGGGCTACAGGGTGGGAATTAGGAGAACCTGGGTTCTGTGCCAGGCTGTGTCACCAATTTCACCTCTGGGCAGTGATAGTACTTCTCAGCTTTGCCCCAGGGCTTTGGGACAAGTGCTGCTGTAGCAAACTCAAGTGGGAAACGGCCCTTCTGGTCCTTGGAGGCCAGTGCTGGGCACACAGAATGGATGTGGATACCCCTGCTGCTGGCCCTGTGCTGTTTGCGGGGGCAGTTGATCATGGAGCCAGACCTCAGGGGAGCCTGCCCAGCTTTAGGAGGCCGTTCCTCTGGCCCCCTGGCAGGGTACGGCTGGAGATCTCCCAGCAGGTCTGGGCGTAGCTTTTGGATCCTGGCTAGGAAACCACATTGCTCTGCACACTTTCTGCCCCTCCCAGGTAGGGGTGGGGGGGTTAATATCTCCAGGAATGGCCAGGCAATCTCTGAGCTGGCCTGGGAAGCTCCCTCCTGATCATCAGGCCCTGCAGGCGCTTTCTTCCCTGACATTCCAGGTATCGTAAGATCCCGGGAGACAAATGTAGCGGTGGGAAGAGTCCGAGCCGTGAGGTGACGGACCTGAAGAGGAAATGCACAAGCAACTTGTTGACCCCCAGCCAGCTGGTAGGTGATAGCAAACGTGTGGGGAGCCAGCCAATACCAGGGCGTGAAGTGCTTGGGATCCTTGGGGCTGCGAGGTTCTTGTACAACCGCCAGGAACTGGAGCAGTCTTGGTTTAAATTTCATGTTTTGTGAATGTAGCAAAGCTTCCTTTCTCTCTGCAGTCCGCTGCCTCCAGCTCTGCTCCCATAATCCTGGCTGTCGTGGGCGTCATGCTCCTCACCATCATAGCTGGAGTCCTGATCATTAAGAAATACGTCTGTGGGGGCAGGTGAGGTTTGGGAGGGGTTTCACATGCAGTCACTCTGGCTGAAGTATTACACATCTCATAGATTTTAAGGCCAAAAGGGGCCATCATGATCATCTAGTCTGACCTCCTGCACGTCACAGGCCACAAAACCTCACCCAGCCACTCCTGTAACAGACCCCTAACCTCTGGCTGAGTTACTGACGTGTTCAAATCATGCTTTAAAGCCATCAAGTTACAGAGAATCCACCACTGACACTAGTTTAAACCTGCAAGTGACCCATGCCCCATGTTGCAGAGGAAGGTGAAAAAACCCCAGGGTCTCTGCCAATCTGAGCTGGGAGAAAATTCCCTCCCAACCCAAAATCTGGTGATTAGCTAGACCCTGAGCATGTGGGCAAGACCCAGCAGCCAGACACCTGGGAAGGAATTCTCTGTAGTAATTTGGAGCCCTTCCCATCTAGTGTCCCATCACCGGTCACTGGGATTTTTGCTACTGCCCGTCGCTGCTTGGCCACATGCCATCGTGGGCCGTCTCATTGCACCATCCCCTCTATAAATTTATCAAGCTCAGGCTTGAAGCCAGTTAGGTTTTCTGCCCCCTCAGCAGATACGTCCATGCTGCAGTCCAAGGTGTACGTGCAGTACCCTGGCCAAAAGTAGCAGTGTAGCCCAGTGGCACAGCTCCAGCACAGGCTGTCCGAGATCCCGGGCACCTGCTCGTGTTGCTCAGACTGCGGCATAGGCATATCCTGACATGGCTCTGAAATCTCCCAGCTTCAGTTAAGTGAAGGTCATTGATGGTTAGCAGCTCCTGTATCCTCCCCACAGTCACTAACCATTCCACTGCATAGTATGGTGTTGTACTTAAAGTACTGCACAGGATCTTTTCAGGGGGAATAAGGCAAAACGCCACATTTATTAGTAATACATGTATTCATTAACACTGTATCATATGCATATGATATATATTACACTCATGCACTCACATACACACACACACAAGCACACTCCGTCTTGTTGTTGTTACCAATTAGTTGCTCCCCTTAACTGCAGTGGCCAGGTGAGTTAGATGGGGGAGGGGCTGGAGCTGGGCTTCTGCCGATCCGGATCAATGCTCCCATGTTGACAAGACGAGACCCGGGGTCCTCTGCAAGACACCTCACTTTTATAGCAGCTTCCCTCTCATGCAAATCTGTACCAGATTCAAAATCTGTGTCTCTGTCCATTGGTCCTTTGTGCTGCTTCCTTCTGGGGGTTGTCCCAATGCTGCAAAGAGGGTGTTTCCAAAAGAAGGTGCTTGCTTCTAAACCACCCCCTCCC